GTGACATCCACTATTGGATGAAAACCTGTGAAAATGCTGTGAAAAATATGTGAAATACCCTGTGACAAGAAAACACCCTGTGAAAAACCCTGTGAATTTTGCACAGCCTAAATTTTGAGAAAATTTCAAAATTTAGGACCCTGTGAAAAAACCTGTGACTAAAATAAGCCTGTGAAAAACCCTGTGAAAAAACCTGTGATCAAAGTTTAAGAAAATTGCCTACAAAACACCTCTGAAAAATCCTGTGAAAAAACCTATGAAAAAATTTTGAGAAAATTGCCTAAGAAACACCTCTGAAAAACCATATGAAAATACCTGTGAACAAAAAATGATTGAAATCGATAACAGCATGCAAAGATGCACTGAAAAAACCTGTGAATAATGAAGGAATGAACCATATGTGTGCTTTTATAAATTATTTTACACATATATATGCCTATAAATAAAACACATGCATAATTAAGTAAAATAAAAAGCTGGATGATTTGATGAAAGACATTTGTTTTGCTACTCAGAGTTTCATGCTGCCAAAAGTAACGGTTACCACGAAAGATTGATATAGAAAATAAACAGGTTTACATTGAATGTGGTTTTGCAAAAATTTTTAATTTACGTTGTTATGTTACAGTTTTACAAAACCAAGCAGTTTGTGGTATTTAGGAATACTCAGGTAATTTCAATGCAATTTGCATTTTTATGTTTTTCCGTTCGGTGTTGACACAAATTTCTGTACAGTGTTCCTACCCCCTTATGCTCCCATGTGATTATCAAGTCCCTATGACACAGTCATGTGTAACAAGAATAATTATGCTTTTGGTTTCTTGGGAAAGCGGCAAGTACAACAATCAATATAATTTCCAGGCAAAAATTGTATTCAGATAAGAACCCTTTCACTTGTCACTTAAAAAGACTTTTTCTCAGCTAAGAGGGACTTTACAGAAAACCAATGCTGGCCATATATCTGCTGCATGCTAATAGTGCAACTTAATGACATATGTGATATCTTCCTCTTCCACAAAATGATGTTTAAGTTTGAGCATTTTTGGACCTAAATGTTGAAACCTAGTTGAGAAAGTGTTGAAGGAAATCTAAATGTTGTTAAATTTCATTCGACATTATGTCAACATCTTTGTTCTCAAGGATGTTTGTGTTAAAGCATGACGAGTTATCTCTGTTCTCACCATTTGGTTTAATGCTGGAACATGTTAAACAAGTATAATTATTGTTCTAAATGAGAAAGGTACATTAAATATTTCTCATTTATTATTTACCAGGATAATTAAATGAACACCATGACATTGCAAAGGTGACCACATGTTGAAACCAGCACTGAATTTAATGAAATGGTAAATGCTTATCTTGCAAGCATCAAGTTATGGATGCTTGTGGTTGGTTGCTAAGCACGAATGAAGCATAAGATCAGAGTTGCTTGATGTGATAGCCAAGAGCAATTCAGGTCTAAAACTGAGTCACTGACAAGGTATATTGTAAAATTTTCTTGGTTGTTCGCACAATATGCAACATCATATATCACATCAGCAGCCATGTGCATTCAAATAATTATGTAGTAGGCTGTGTCATAAAAATCAGCCTTGCATTGGATGTGAGCCCATGACCCTCAGTGATGTGTTTTTGTTAGTTCATAAATAAATAAACTTGTCAGTGATGAATAAATGAAAGTGATAATTGAAAATCAATATTTTAACTAAATAAGTATTTGCTGTAAAGGAAACCTGCTTTGAAGTAGTTAACATAACTGCCATAATCTTTTACTAAATGGCCAGTAAGGGGAGATGGACTGACTTGTGTGACACTTTTTTTGGAAATAGAACATGTTTAGCTAATACTTGTTCTACCATCGTAACAAGCGACACCATGACCATGTCAGTCCGAGAGGGGAAATGGACTTCAGACAGATTCTTGCCCAGAACAAAATTGAATAAAGCAAATGATCAAGGGAAAAATTTGGCTTCAAGTAGTAGTATACTTTTTGCAAGGGAGGTTATTCGGTGATAAATGATGTACTTGTTCGTATTTTTGGTCATTGAAAGGATAGTTTTGGTCAAGCTGTTAAAAAAAAGGTCAAACCTAGAGCTAGTTAAAATAATGGAGCCGTGAAATGTTGTTAATTATATATCTGTTTATTGTTCATTCAAAGTATTTGTCTATTTCTGATCGGCTAAAATCTCCCAGATAATTCTCCATGACCAGCTACCATTGACCAGTTTAGGAAGACATAATGCTAATATCAGTACAGTTTCCCATATTGTACTGATAATCAAGGAAAAAGGGACAGCAGGAGCACAGAAGTCCAACTGCTTTGGTGGAGATTCAGTCTTAAGTGTTATGAAGAAAAAATAACTTCAGTTGTACAGCCCCAGTAACTCAAACTCTGAAGGGAAACGAAAAACTGTTTGAGTTAGTAAGGAATTTGAGTTATCAGGGTAAATTTCATTGAAATTTAGAAAGCTAAGGGAAGGGAAATTTAGTTTGAGTTACTGGGGAATTCGAGTTATCTGAGGTTTTACTGTAAACTACTGCCTAAAGCAAGTAGGAATCAAGGATGACAACTGCTATTTGAAGAATATCTGCTATCAAAACTAAACATCCACTGCCAAAGAACATGCAAATACATGTATTATGAACATTGAGGCAGCAACGTACATAAGTTTTTTACTTGGAAATAATTTTGAATGAATAATAATTGTTTTCAAAACAATCATTATGCAGCTATCAAGGGGGCTCGATCCACATAATTCCTCGCAAAATAGTGACTCCAAACTGAATGCAAATAGAATATGTGAAACTCAATATAACTTTCACTCTTAGCTTCAAGAACCAAATTAAAGGTGCTAAGAAAAAATGAGACAGGAAAGGACTTTTTTTTCATCATATTCAATTTATCAAAGCGAGGTTGTGCATTTCCAAATGAAATTCATGTCAAAAAAGAAAGGAGAGTTTTTGATCACAAGAATAACAACTTAAAGAATCAAATAACTTAAAAGAAGGAAGCATCTTAGTCAGAGAAAAACAAAACTTAAGCTTACTGTAAAAGTTCAAATTTATGTGCTTATCTGTTTTCCCTAATTCAAGTGGCTAAATCTCCAGCCCGCTGTAAGAGTAAGTTCATTCACTGGATGACCCTATCATAAGCAGCATCTTCAAGCAAGTCTGTCCACCCTAATTGAAGAACTGGTAAAGAAAAACAAGAATTTATTAGATTTAAATGTGTGATAAATTTGTACAGGAAAAGGGAAAAGCTTTCAGATATGGAATTAATAAAGCGGCATCCGCTCAAGATTCGTTCATGCATTAAAGCTTAAATCAAAGAAAGAAAAAAAAATTGTGTTGTGTGATTAAAATGACCAAAAATACAGCCGTAAGTACTCACCTTAAAGAACTTTTTTTCTTCCATTCGGCATATCATTGAGCTTCTGCTTCTGTATAACAACAGGTAAAAATATCATAAACGGAGACTGACTTCAGTTGTGAACTCAACTCTTTTGCTCCGACCTCAGTTTGGATCTCATGCTTGTCCCTCACATATTTTTCTTTAATTTAACCGGTCAAACAAAAAGAATTTGCACAAAGACGATCTAGATCGATCCGAACGTTCAGAAACCAAGATGGCAGCACTCGGACGAGAAAGACTGGATCCTAGCACCCGTGTTTTGGCGGTTTTGGCGCGAATTTCTGAACGCGGCTTCCAAACTCCTCTTCATTCGTTCAATCACAACAAAGATAGAGATGACGTGTAAAAGCTGAAAGACAAAAACAAGACTTTATTTTTCCCTACATCGATTTGTAATCATAGCCTTTTCTTCGATGAAGTTTTCATTTGTAAAATAATCAAAGACTGGCTAAAAAGGTAAGTGCTATCCTTCCTTTCATTTTGATAAATGGGCCTTTTGTACAAACATGTTGATACTGGTGAGTTTTAGAAAGGAACTACATATGTACATAGCTGTATAGCTTCTTATCTGCTTCTTCTTATCTTTTTTTTTTTTTACTACAAACAGGTCCTACGTTTATTTGAAGTTGAGCTATTAAGCTAGTGAATTGTATTAAACAACAACTGTGCAGCAAAGTTCTTGTAATGAACACTTTCAGTTTGGTCCATAATACAGGATTGATAAAACAAGCCTTTTTGTGTATTTAACTGTCGTACATGTTGTTTGGAGTATCTGATCTGGATTCTGGATTCCAGGTACTGGATTTCAGTCCTTGCGCTGTATTTTCGGGATTGTAAGGCCAAGGATTCCAGATTCCCTTACAAGGGGCGAGTTTTTAATAACTCAGTGATTTACTAAAATAATTCATTGGTTTGGATGCACGCCCTCATGGTATTAAAACTTAATCCTTAAACACCTTTTAATTTTTATCTAACCGTAACAGTACAGTATTTCTTACAGTTTAGGACTTTTCTTTTCTGTTTTAGCTTGTAACAAGCACACCTCTCATCTGTTCTTTATTTCAGATTTTTATTTCAAATTGTTGTGAAACTAAATAGCTACTTCTTTTTATCACCTACCTGACTATGAAAACTACTTAACTAATGAAGTTAAATTCTTTTTTATAAACAGTAACAAAGACTTCTGTAAAAATGCCTGTGTCTTGATGGCCAAGCTGAATCAAGCACTCAGTATAGCATTCATGCATATCATGCCAGTTCATCTGACAAAAAGTTTGTGGTTTTTTGAAGACTACCAATGTGAGTATCTCTACATTTTTTTAAGTTAAGAAGACCATCATCAATCAGGATCCAATTTATTTTGTGTAGTTTTATATGAGATATTAGCTAATAAAATAATTAGACGTATTTACGCTGTATTAGCTAGGAAAATAATAAGATGTATTTACCTGTGTTCTTGTTTCTTTATGAGTTGTTTTGGAAGGGATTTGAATGCGATCAGAGACGGCAAACATTGCTAGCTGTTGCTGGTATCAAATGGCTGTTTGTCTAGTGCTTCATAAATAGGATGCAACAGTTACATATCAAG